TGGTACAGGATAACTAAAAACAATTTCATTCATGAGTCCTACATTGTGGGGTCCCGTGATAACTAATGGCACATTTAAACTAATATTATCCTAGGTCCCCTGGCCCAGCCCAGGGCATCCCACCCACCTGCCCTGCCACCGTCCCCATCTCACGGCCTTTTCCCTGCCTTGTATATTACAAACGTGTACACTTGGACTGAGTTTGAGATGGAAATAGGGGACGGCCTTGTTGAAAGTCTCTGGGTAAGGATAAAAGGGGTAAAAACAAGGGTGATGTCATGGTAGGGGTCTACTACCGACCACCTGACCTGGAAGAGGAGGTGGATGAGGCTTTTTTTTAAACAAATAACAAAATCGCCCAAAGCACAGGACTTGGTGATGATGGGGGACTTCAACTACTCAGACATCTGTTGGGAAAATAACACAGCAGGGCACAGATTCTCAACAAGTTCTTGGAATGTATTGGAGACAATTTTTTATTTCAGAAGGTGGAGACAACTACTGGGGGGAGGCTGTTCTAGATTTGAGTTTGACAAATAGGGAGGAACTGGTTGAGAATTTGAAAGTGGAAGGCAGCTTGGGTGAAAGTGGTCATGAAATGGTCGAGTTTGTGATTCTAAGGAATGGTAGGAGGGAGAACATCAAAATGGATTTCAAGGCAGATTTATCAACTCCCTGAGTTTGCTAGGTAAGATCCCATGGGAAGCAAGTCTAAGGGGAAAAACAATTGACAGTTGGCAGTTTTTCAAGGAGACATGATTAAGGGCACAAGAGCAAACTATCCCACGGCACAGGAAAGATAGGAAGTATGGCAAGAGACCACCCTGGCTTAACCAGGAGATCTTCAACGATCCAAAAATAGAGTCCTACAAAAAGTGGAACTAGGTCAAATTACAAAGGATGAATATAAACAAATAACACCAGTACGTAGGGACAAAATTAGAAAGGCCGAGGCACAAAACGAGATCAAACTAGCTAGGGACATAAAGGGTAACAAGAAAACATTCTACACGTACATTAGAAGCAAGAGGAAGACCAAGGACAGAGTAGGCCCGTTACTCAATGAGGGGGAAAAACAATAACAGAAGATGAGGTGCTTAATGACTTCTTTGTTTCGGTTTTCACCAAGAAGGTTGGTGGTGATTGGATGTCTAACGTAGTGAATGCCAGTGAAAATGTGGTAGGATCAGAGGCTAAAATAGGGAAAAAACAAGTTAAAAATTACTTAGACAAATTTAGATGTCTTCAAGTCACCAGGGCCTGATGAAATACATCCTTGAATACTCAAGGAGCTGACTGAGGAGATATCTGAGCCATTAACAATTATCTTTGAAAAGTCATGGAAGATAGGAGAGATTCCAGAGGGCTGGAAAAGGGCAAATCTAGCGCCCATCTATAAAAAGGGAAATAAGGACAACCTGGGGAATTACAGACCTGTCCGCTTAACTTCTGTACCTGGAAAGATAATGGATCAAATAATCAATCAATTTGCAAACATCTAGAGGATAATAAGGTGATAAGTAACAGTCAGCATGGTGTCAAGTATCAGGAGGTAGCCGTGTTAGTCTGTATCTACAAAAACAACAAGGAGTCTGGTGGCACCTTAAAGACTAACAGATTTATTTGGGCATAAGCTTTCGTGAGTAAAAACCTCACTTCTTCGGATTTGTCAAGAACAAATCATGTCAAACCAACCTGATAGCTTTCTTTGACAGGGTAACAAGCCTTGTGGATGGGGGGAAGCGGAAGACGTGGTATATCTTGACTTTAGTAAAGCTTTGGATACTGTCTCGCAGGACCTTCTCGTAAACAAACTAGGGAAATGCAACCTAGATGGAGCTACTATAAGGTGGGTGCAAAACTGGTTGGAAAATCATTCCCAGAGAGTAATCAGTGGTTCACAGTCATGCTGGAAGGGCATAACGAGTGGGGTCCCACAGGGATCGGTTCTGGGTCCGGTTCTGTTCAATATCTTCATCAATGATTTGGATAATGGCATAGAGAGGACACTTCTAAAGTTTGTGGACGATACCAAGCTGGGAGGGGCTGCAAGTGCTTTGGAGGATAGGATTAAAATTCAAAATGATCTGGACAAACTGGAGAAATGGTCTGATGTAAATAGGATGAAATTCAATAAGGACAAATGCAAAGTACTCCACTGAGGAAGGCACAATCAGTTGCACACATTCAAAATGGGAAATGACTGCTTAGGAAGGAGCACTGCAGAAAGGGATCTGGGGGTCATAGTGGATCACAAGCTAAATATGAATCAACAGTGTAACACTGTTGCAAAAAAAGCAAACATCCTTCTGGGATTGTTGTAAGTGTTACAGGAGTGTTGTAAGCAAGACACGAGAAGTAATTCTTCCACTCTACTCTGCGCGGATTAGGCCTCAATTGGAGTATTGTGCTCAGTTCTGGGCACCACGTTTCAGGAAAGATGTGGACAAACCGAAGAAAGTCCAGAGAAGAGCAACAAAAATTATTAAAGGGCTAGAAAACATGACCTATGAGGGAAGATTGAAAAAACTGGGTTTGTTTAGTTTTCAAGTACATAAAAGGTTGTTACAAGGAGGAGGGTGAAAAATTTGTTCTTAACCTCTGAAAATAGGACAAGAAGCAATGGGCTTAAATTGCAGCAAGGGAGGTTTAGGTTGGACATTAGGAAAAACTTTCTAACTGTCAGGGTGGTTAAGCACTGGGATAAACTGCCTAGGGAGGTTGTGGAGATGTTTAAGAGCAGGTTAGACACACTCCTGTCAGGGATGGTCTAGATAATACTTAGTCCTGCCAGGAGTGCAGGGGACTGGACTAGAGATCGCGTGAGGTCCCTTCCAGTCCTACGATTCTATGATTCTATCTTCCCCCCAGTCAGTGTGAGCGCAATCTATGCCCCGTGAACAGCAGAGCCTGCCGCCTGGCCGCCAACTCCATCTCCTTCCACTACCTGCCGCTCCAATCCAACCGCACCGTGCCTAGGGTGCTCTTCAAGATGTCCACCACCCACCTGGTGGGCGAGAGCCTGCGCTTCGCCATCACGGGTGGCAGGGGCCAGGGCGTCTTCGCCGTGCGGCGCTCCGAATGGCACGCCGGCGAACTGATCCTCACCAGCCCGGTGGCAGGGCCGGCCACCTTGGAGGTGGAGCTGGAAATGAGCAAACTCGCCAGGAAGGTTCTTCTTGGGAAGCACATCTTCAGGGTCACGGTCTTCATCTCCCGATATGAGTTCTGAGCCCTCCAAAGCCGCCGGCCTGACGCAGTCCAGCAGAGACACCCGCCTCAGAGCCGAGACGGGGCTTCCAGGGCATCCAGCCAAGCTAGCCGTCTGGGGCGCCCATGCTGGCTTCTAGAAAATGTCTGGGGAGCTGCCTCCTTGGAGACCCCCATTCTTCACCTGGCAAAGACCTCGCCCCTAGGGTCCTGCCCGTATAGCATGTCCCGGTCTCACTGGGGCTGGCTGTGGATGGCAGAGAAATCGCAATGGCCAGTGCCCAGCAGTGCAGGGTCAAGGGTGGCTCGTGGGGTAGCTGAGCTGCTCCCCAGCCTGGGCACAAGCCCACGGGGTGTCCCGTGTCAGCCGCCAGCTGCACTTCCCTGCCGCCCCTCCAGCTGGCATTCCCCTGCTCTCTTAGGCGCCCCTGGGCTTAGACGTCGCATCCAGCTAGGGCAGCAGCAGCACGGCGAGCCCACCTGGGGCAGAAGAGCAGGACCTGCCAACGGGGGATTTGGCTTCTCATACGTAGTAACATAAAATAAACCAGCAACATCCCTAGGAGGAGCCCTCGCCGCTCATTGCTCCCCATCGCCGACCCAGGCCTCCTAGTGAGCCAGCAGCAGACTGATGTGCCGCGCTCTGCCCTCGTCCCCTACGGCCGGCTGACTCCAGCCCCGGGCCCCAGCACCTCTGCCCCAAGCCTCACCTCGGCATCCCTCTGCTGTCCAGCACCTGGGCTCTCATCACGCCTGTTCCCTCAGCGTGAGCCGGCCATGTGCTGCCAGGCCAGGCCGACCAGGCCTCGACTACCCACCTGCAACCTGGGGCTGATGCTACCACCTGAGGGCCTGGCAAACGGGCCGCTAGCCCACAGTGCCAGGGGCCCATGCCGCCCTCCATGGTTGCACCCACCCTGCCTGACAGGCCCTGTACTCTGCCGAGCTAGGGCAGGAGGGGCTGGCGTGTGAGCCGCCACGGAGTGGGGTGGGTACGTGCATTGCCCTGAGGGGCTGGGCGCATGTGCATGTGTGTTCCCTGAGACTCCCTAACCCACCGGCCCGACACGCCACCCACGCCAGGGGAGTGCATGGCTCTGAGCACTGACTGGGGTCCCAGAAAGGTGCTGGGGGCTAAGCAGGGAGGCTGCAGGAGGCCATTTAGGGGAAGCGGCGGGCCTCTGACCAGAACGCCCAGTCGAAAAGGGATCCTGGTGGCTCAGGTCAGCACCGCTGACCGGGCTATTAAAAGTCGGTCAGCGAGGCAGCAGGGCTAAGGCAGGCTCCCTGCCTGCCCTGGCTCTGTGCAGCTCCTGAAAGCGGCCGGCATGTCCCTGCGGCCCCTAGGCACAGGAGCGATCAGGGAAGCTCTGTGCGCTGCCCCTACCCCCAGCACCGGCTCCGCAGCTCCCATTGGCCGGGAACTATGGTCAATGGGGGCGGTGCCTGCGGGCAGCGTGCAGAGCCCCCCAGGCTGCTCCTCTGCCTAGGGGTCACAGGGACATGCTGGCTGCTTCCAGGAGCTGCACAGAGCCAGGGCAGGCAGGGAGCCTGCCTTAGCCCCATTGCACCGCTAACTGGGAGCCGCCTGAGATAGGTGCCGCCCAGCTGAAGCCTGTGTCCCTATCCCCCTCCCGCACCCCAACCCCCGCCCCAAACCCCCTCCCACACCCTAACTCCCTCCCAGAGCCCACACCCTTAGCCCCCTCCTGGAGCCTGCACCCACACCCCCTCCCACACCCCAACCCTCTGCCCCAGCCCTGAGCCCCCTACTGCACCCCAAACCCCTCATCCCTGGCCCCACCCCAGAGCCTATACCCCAGCTGGAGCCCACACCCCAATCCCCTACCCCAGCCCTCAACCCGCTCCTGCACTCTGAACCCCTCGGCCCCAGTCCAGAGCCCCCTCCTACACCCCAAACCCCTCATCCCAGGCCGCACCCCCAGCCGGAGCCCTCACCTCACCCCACACCCAACTCCCTGCCCCAGCCCAGAGCCCCCTCTTGCACCCTGAACCTCTCATTTCTTGGAGTTTGTTTGTAAACAGAGGCAGGTGATTAAGCGAACAAAAGGCTTGTCATTAAATTAAATTAAGGATGGTTAGATGACCCTGAAAGCATTGCAGGTACTTCTGTTAAAAGAAAGGAAACAAAGGGTAGGAGTGAATGGTGAGAAGTAAATGGGGTCCCCCAGGGATCTGTACTGGGCCCAGTCCTATTCAACAGATTCATAAATGATCTGGCGAAAGGGGTAAACAGTGAGGTGGCAAAGTTTGCAGATGATACAAAAACCACTCAAGATAGTTAAGACCGAAGCAGACTGTGAAGAACTTCAAAAAGATCTCACAAAACGAAGTGATTGGGCAACAAAATGGCAAATGAAATTTAATGTGGATAAATGTAAAGTAATGCACATTGGAAAAAATAACCCCAACTATACATACAATATGAGGGGGGCTATTTTAGCTACAACAAATCAGGAAAGAGATCTTGGAGTCATCGTGGATAGTTCTCTGAAGATGTCCACACAGTGTGCAGAGGCGGTCAAAAAAGCAAACAGGATGTTAGGAATCATTAAAAAAGGGATAGAGAATAAGACGGAGAACATCTTATTGCTCTTGTATAAATCCATGGTACGCCCACATCTGGAATACTGCATACAGATGTGGTCGTCTCATCTCAAAAAAGATATACTGGCATTAGAAAAGGTTCAGAGAAGGGCAACTAAAATGATTAGGGGTTTGGAACAGGTCCCATATGAGGAGAGATTAAAGAGGCTAGGACTTTTCAGCTTGGAAAAGAGGAGACTAAGGGGGGATATGATAGAGGTCTATAAAATCATGGGTGATGTGGAGAAAGTGAATAAGGAAAAGTTATTTACTTGTTCCCATAATACAAGAACTAGGGGTCACCAAATGAAATTAATGGGCAGCAGGTTTAAAACAAATAAAAGGAAGTTCTTCACACAGCGCACAGTCAACCTGTGGAACTCCTTGCCTGAGGAGGTTGTGAAGGCTAGGACTATAACAAGGTTTAAAAGAGAACTAGATAAATTCATGGAGGTTAGGTCCATTAATGGCTATTAGCCAGGATGAGTAAGGAATGGGGTCCCTAGCCTCTGTCAGAGGGTGGAGATGGATGGCAGGAGAGAGATCACTTGATCATTACCTGTTAGGTTCACTCCCTCTGGGGCACCTGCCATTGGCCACTGTTGGCAGACAGGATACTGGGTTGGATGGCCGTTCGGATGTTCTTATGTTGGCTCCAGGATGACAGGGTGAGAAAGGGCTCTGGGGATGGAGGGAGGGAGAATCCAAAATCACTGTGACACTCCACCCCATGCAGCCCCCTCCGCCTGCACCTATGCCACCCATTCTCTGCCTGTGCGGCCCCCTAGGACTCGGTCCCCCCCTCCACACACAGCCCAGTTAGCAGCCCTGCTCAGACCAGCCTGTTCCCGCGTCCCGCACACAAAGCTGCTCCTGTGTGCAGAGAGTGCAGAAACCAGCCCACAGAGGTCTCCTTATATAACACAGAGCACGTTGCTCCAGGCCAGCCAGGTGCCCACGGTGGGCAGGCTTGGCCAGCGTGCTTGCCAAGGACAGGGCATCTCCTCCAGCGTGTAGCAGAGTTTATTTACTGACAGGGAGCGGCCTGGCTCCAGGAAGAGATGCGCTGCTGACAGACACACAGACCATTACGCAGCTACCGGCGCCTTTCCTTCACATCCCTGGCACAAGACTAGCCTGGCCCATTTCTAGTCAGTTTCACTTCCTGCCCTGGGATTGAATTAAATTCCCCACTCCTAAAGGGAGAGCTGGAGGCAGTTGATGTGTGATGTTTAATAACAAGGCATTCGGTATTGCAGGGGGGTCTCAAACTTCACTGCACTGTGACCCCCTTCTGACTACACGACCCCAGGATGGGACCGAAGCCTGAGCCTGCCCGAGCCCCATGCTCCGGGTAGGGGGCCCAAGGGCTTCATCCCCGGTCAGGAGGCCTGTAACCTGAGCCCTGCCATCCCCGTCAGGTCCCAGCAAGTCTAACGTCAGCCCTGGTGGCCCCATTAAAACCAGATGGCGACCCACTTTGGGTTCCTGACCCAGTTTGAGAACCACTGCAGTATTGTCACCAGCCCCCCACCAAAATCACAGGATTGGCTTAAAACCAGGAGCGTTTTAAAAGTAATAATACATTTTAGGTGCTTTTGATTTGCCTTCTGAGTTTTGAACCTCTCAGGTTGCTGTTTTCCAGCTTCCCCCCCGCACCTGGGAGGGTTAGCAAGGTACCTTGCTACTAATGAAAGCAGAGCTTCTTAGTTAACCACAGGACTCCGGGAGCTGAGGGGTTAAAAAAAATCACCAGTGTGAGCCTCCCACTCAAATCACACGCGTGTGCAATACTGTGCCTTGAGTGAGAGCGGTTTGGGCATGCTCAGGCCTAGAACCCGCTCGCCGGCCTGCCTAACCCGGCACGTGAGCTCAGGCCAGTGTGGGGTTCCGGTCGCTTTGCTCCAGGTTCCTCTCTTGGGGGGCAAGACAGGAACCTGCAGCAGAGCACGAGCCAGCCAGTACTGTGCTGCTGCCCACTGCCAGGCTGGGCGCTGTCTGCTTGAGCCAGCTCCTGTATGTGTGAGCGGGAGATGGGCCCGCTATTGTGGGGAACCTCCCTGGCTTATACACGACCCCGGTGAAATGGGCTGGCGAAAGGATCTGAGGCCTCGCTCCCACTCCCTTTACCCAGAGGCCTGCCTGACCTCGAGGGCTCCCCTTCCCCTCTCCTGTGTGGCAGAGGCCTCGTAACCCCAACACGGCTGGGCACAGAGTTCCTGGGGGGGAGGCTCGACCCCCAACTTTGTCGTGGTCACTTAGGGCAGGGGCTCAGGTGTCCCCACCTGGGGGGGGGGGAGGGGGCTCTTTCTGCACTGGACACTTCTCTGACCCACTGATCATTCCATACAGTTCAAAGCAAATACAAATGATTAAACACCAACTAATTAAAAAATAAGGAGCAAATGGCCAAGG